TATCTGAAAAACACTCATCGCAGCTCCTAAGTTACAAGACTCATAGCACATCAACGGGTGCTGTCTTTGCCAAATATGTAACATTTTCTAAAGTAACATCTTACACATAGAATAAGGGATGATTGTGAATTCACACTGTAAGGTCTAATCCAACAACCCAGTGTCTAGCTTTGTTTCTATGAGCCAAATAGGCCAAAGAACTAGGGGATCCACCAAAACTTAAAATTAGTTACTCAAAAGTTGTACCTAGTAGGTTCATAATTCCTGAATGTATGAGCCTTGAATACACCTTAGTATTTTTGTAATTTTAACCAAGACTGATTATAAATTAGTTTACATTTTCTGCATGTATCTGTTTCACAAGGCTAAGCATTTAACTTTCATCATCTTTGCACATGCTCAGATGTTGCTTGCTGTGAACAAAGCACAGCGTATCATAGAATGATACACTGCTACACAATATACAGCATGATATGCAGGACAAAAAAGAATATACTCCAATAGTTTCATGATGTATTTCAGGGGTGCCCATGCTCAAAAGTTCAAAGATAACTCAAAAACTTTCATCCAAATGCATGAAGCTGGATATGTAACTCAGCCTGCAGATTACAAATTGTTGTTTTGTATTTTTGTTTTGTTAAAACAATAAAAAATAGGATGTGGTAAGAATTTAGAAGGTCTCGTATCTGTTTAAACACTGATGGTGATGCAGAAGGCTCAGAATGTTTTAGCGTTTTCAGAAGAACATTAAAGCTAATTTTCATTCACAAACAAACCACAATCAATTCGAATACCTTTTATTTTACCTTGCTAAAATATCAGTTCCAGTGTTTGAAAATTCTTAGAGCCTCTTCCACAAAACATGTTATATCCTTGCAGCCATGAACATCCTCAGCTTCATTCAAACAAAATAAGAGAACCAGACTGGCATGGATATAATCAGCAATTTCCATCATCATTATGGTTGAAAAAATATTGACATTATAACCATTATTTCCAGCTTCATAAGAGATAAAATACCAATCTTTTTCTCTTGTGCAGACATAATACACATATCATATTTCATCCTCCTTCAAACTGATTACAGGAGAGAAGGGACTCTCAAAAAAGAATTAATAGCATTCTCATGCTCTATGTTAACATTCTAAATTTGGTCTTATTTGTTATTAGTCTAGCAAACATTCTGGTTGTGTTCCCAGTGAATAGTTTCCTTTTTGTAAAGCAATTTAAAAAATAGAAAAAGAAAAAAAGAACAAGTTTAAATAAGACACGGATCTCATAAAGAGGGCAAAGTCTGAAAATATGATGCAGAATCAAACCAAGACCAATTGCAAGAAAAGCTTTAAAAGTGCTTCTTTTTTCTGATGAGTGATTGTACCATGTATTAGGTTGTTATCAGTCTGCATCAGATATTTAGTTTGTGTGAATATATGCAATTGGCAATTTCTATGCTTTTACCTGCGTATTGACCTCATTATAATCAGACAGGTGGACAGGTCCTCCCTACTATGTTGTATATTGCAATTACACAAGAAATATATTTCTAATCTTATGAAACTGTGTTATTCAGCCCATTGATCCACCTAACATGGTATCTTCTGCTATGACCGATAATGGCTTCCCATGGTCTTGGAAGCCTTTCCAAACCATGCCACTAGGGATCCTAAAACTGGTAATACCCATGATTAAGTCTTCATGCAAACTTGTGTGGTCTCATAGCGACATATGGCCCATCAGCAGGCATCAAACTTTATACCAACATAGGTTCTGCAACTATGACTTTAAAAGTTTTTGGCACTCTAGCAAGAATAACAGTGACAATTTATGCTACAGTATCAGTAAAATTGAACATAGTGACAAATTATGCTACAGTATCAGTAAATGTGCCAATGCACTGGGTTGGCTATGACATGATGTTTGGCTAGCTTCAACTCTGTCTTCAACACACATAGTTCAGCCGCTTGCAAGATCAAGCTGTTAACCATAGCATACAAATGAGTGTCTGTTTACTTTAGAATTAAACAGAGAGATACACCTGCAGTTTTAAAAGCCCGTATACAATATGTTAGAGTTATTTCCAGTATATAGCCAACAATGTTGTCATTTACAATACGGTTTACACACACACACACACACACACACACACACACACTGCTACAAGAAGGAGCAAGATACCTCTTTCCTTAGAAGTGAACCCTGAATAATTTTGTATTGAATCTCTAAATAAAGAGAAACATGTTCTGGTAGTAGATTCCTTTTCCCTCTGGAGAAAGCCCAGATCATTTCCATTTAAGGTCACATAAGCAGCAGCTGCACATTTTTGTCCCCTGAAGAAAATGGAAGTTGCTTAAACACATCCACAGCTTTTATGTGTGACAATATTCCAAATCACTCTATGCTTCCCAGATTCTTCTAATGTAGCCAGGCAATGAAATGTCTACGTTCTCTGTACATAGCCTCACTTATCTTCAGAAGGTGCTTCAAATAATTTCTCCTCTCTCTACAGATTTTGTGTGTACATACACACACATGCGTACCCAGTCACACAGTCATGTGTGCACACACCAAATGGCAAAACATTTAAAGATTCTGAATGCAGGAATGTGTGGGTCAATTGTATTTTACACCACTAAAACAAAAAAATGGCATGATTGCATATCTGGTGACAAAACTTCTAAAGAAACTAGCTAAATAGGGTAAAATGCTTTGAAAAATTCACACACATTCTGATTCTACATGGAGGAAACCCCTGTTTTTCATACAGTTTTCTGTGCAGGAATAGAATTGCTTAACTGAGATTTGATTAAAAACTCTCCTAAACTTTAACAACAAGAGGAGCCATGGGGCAAAGTAGGGCTCGGAAGTTGACTGAAAAATGTTTCTAGGAAATAGAAACATAGAAACAGAGTGAGTCAGAAGGGGTCTCCCGGGCCATCTAGTCTGACCTCCGGCACCAGCTGGCTCCGCTCACGACATGCCTGCCATGTGCATGTCCAGCCTATCTTTGAACACCCTCACCGATGGGGCCTCAACGACCTCTCATGGAAGCCCATTCCACACCCTCGGGGTCCTGACTGTCAGGAAGTGCTTCCTGGCATCTAAATGGAACCTTGGAATAAGAAAGCTAAAAGGAGGGGATCAGTGATGTAGCTTGATTAAGGGAAGGAGGGCAAGTAGACCATTTTCTGAGAAACAGGGATGCAAAGAAACATAAAGAAGCAAGACTTTGGAAAAGGTGATAGAGAAGACAGCCGAGCTGAAAATGGAGAAGATTATAAGAAGAGAAGCTGTGGTAAGAGCTAATACAGGCTCTGTGATCAGGAAAGGATGAATGCTGTTGATGGGATAGAAATGATAAGTAAAGAGTGTTAGTCAAAATTCAAGGTAACTACAGCAAATGAGGAAGAGCACACATGCTTAAAAACAGGCACTTAAGGAACAGAGGAAGAAACAATCACTGAATAGGGTGCCAAGTTGGATGAAAATAGGACCTCAGAACCTAGGCACAGAAGTAGCTGGATAGCTGTGTAGTATTAGCAGGAAAGTAGATAGACGTGGGAGCTTTTGGAGGACTAGATCGTAATGTGAGCCAAGGGATTATAGAGTTATCAGGTCTACATTTCAAGAGAATCATTTTTCAGAGCTGTGCAGAAAGCAGAGGTTCTTACACTAAGGCTAAGTCAAACTTCTTAATGTACTTATGTGCTAAGCCAGTATCTTTGCACTTACAGTCTAGCAGGGCAAACTCAGCCCATTTTCCAGATAAACCACTAATTTAACCAAGTAAGTATAATGAATGACTCCAATGTAGGAACTTGTAGACACATTAAAAGGTTGTTCATCTCCTTAATGTATCATTTATATACAAAAATGCTTCTTTCATCATAACTAATTTGACACTAATTATCAGTAATTTCAAACAAAAATAAACACCAGCATCTTAGGGAACTGGTTTTGCTTAGGTTTGCATTATTTATATTTCACTGTAATGAAATTTTAAACATAATTTCTTCTCAACCTTCAGAAAAATGGTTCATAGATATTGACAAAAAACCAACAGCAAAAAAAATACTTTTTAATTAATCTTTGTGAATGTAAATTGCATAGCTTTTATAATGAAAATCACTGTTAAACAAATGTGCAAAATTAAAATCAAGCTACAACCTTTAACAGTTTACCTCCTTTCCATAAAAAAGTTTTACTATGTACATTCATATGTGATAAACATGATAGTACATCATCTACAGCTGACAAATGATGATGATCCTTTTTAAAGGGGAAAATACATTTCTCTTGAAAGCCTCAGAATCTATAACTCCAACTATGGCAAAGGACAGCACTGCTGCTAAAAGGACTGACACATCACTCTTAAAAATGTTAATATGATAGAAGCATCATGAGCTGGAAGACAGGAAACAGAATACTTTTTGTTAAGTGACTTCATATTTCTCATTAAAAATATTTTGTTGGTATTGCCACAAATTCACTCTAGCATTTTGAAGGTCTCTTCAGCTCTTCTAAGTCACAAGTATACACAAGAATCAGGCAATGCTATTTAATTCTGAGCACTTTGTGACTTAATTACCTGGACCACATGCTAGACAACTGTTTCAGGTAAACCACAAGGGATTTCTCCTTGTCCCAAAGAATAATAGTCGTCCCTTCCATATCACAAACTGGTTTTGAGAATCATGGGTTTTCAAAAGTATCTGGGTGTGCAACATCTGATGGATATGCAGTGGGCATAACGAGCTAATTATTTATACATTTCTGTGAATGTCTGTATGTTCAAAGACAAAAGATGTATTTCAATTTTTCATTTTTATCCTAATAGTTCTATAGAACAGTTAATTAAAATAGCAGCTGGATTCTGGCACCATTCAATCCAATGATTTTTGTTTGTTTCTTATCATTAAGAATAGGAAATGCTGTGTACCTGCTATGTAATAATTACTGACTGAATTCACTATCATGTCTCTGTTCAGCATCTTCACTTAGCAGAAATGCAGAGTCCTTTCTATTCTTTCTCTCCTGATAGTTCAAGTATTAAACATCACTGCTCTAAATGAGGTTAGCTATGCAACTTCCCCCTTCTTATAAAGGCTCTTCTATAACCAATCGTCAGAGTTAAATTCCTGAATGACATCATGAGCCCTGCCTATGAAACTTTTGTTATTTTTTCCCTCTGCCCACTTCAGTTGTTCCCACAAACTGGATGACAGAGAACGCCTTTTAGTTCCCCAGAAAATACCATCATATAATTCAGTAATTACTGGCTGTTGAGGTAAGGGAATTTGCTTTTGTTACAATCTACTATGACTTGTGGTTTTCTAAATTAACTCTCCTACTTTTTAGACAGACTTTGTTGAGATACACTAATCTGATACAAAAGTCCAATCTTAGTTTCCTTCTGCAACTTTTGAGAACTGTTTTATAATAGATGAAGCCATATAAAGCATTTTTACTGTGTGTGTACATGTGTATGTGAGAACAGGGAAGGGGGAAGGGAAGAGATGGAAGAAAACACAGAAAAAGCAACCAAACTAAATCAAACTATGTTTCAATTCTGTTTGGTGAATAGCTTAAAGAACACTGCATTCACCATTTAGGAAATTTTGAGATCTCTCACTTTCCCTTAATGAATATGAATATCCTATTCTTGGTTATTATTTGAAAGTATTGAACTCATTTATAGCCTTGACATTTCAATTCAAATATTTTCATTTGAATATGGAATTCTGTGCATGTGCTTTTTTTTTTACTGCAGCCATGCAAAATGGATCCAATATGTTGCATATATATTGCTTGGATCCAGGGAATTACTTCAGGAAGCCTAAGGGGTTTTTGATGTCCCCTCGGATTTTGATGTCCCCTAGGATTATCGATGTTTCTCCCCTCTGAACATAAGACCCCACACCATATCACAAGCTGCTACCTGAATGTCCTTCCAGATTTAAAATTGGTTTGCCCTTTGGTATGTGGGGCTGTTATTCAAGCATGCAAATATTTGGGCACACAAACATAGGAGCTTGGTTCTTTGGATCTCAGCCAGTGGCTACAAATCTGCACCATTAAGCTGCTTAACTCTTACTAAAGTCTCTTGAATTTATGTACCCTAATCTTACACAGGATTGTAGCCACTGGCTTTAACAAGGTGTTTATTTCAGCAAGACTCCAAATAACCTATAGTGTGGACTTACGAATATACCATCTTTCCAGTTATTAAAGTGCATGACTAAAAACACAGTCCTAATCATAAATGCCCAAAGCAAAAAGAAATAGTCCTCAAGAGAGACTTCTTTTGTACTGTAACAGATTAGGACAGGCATACGTCAATACACTAGAGAAACATATACTAGAGAGTACCCAATCTTGCCACGTTTTAATGCTATGTAATCTCTATCTTAGAAGATTTTCAAATTTACATTTTCCATGTTGCCCACAAGAGATCTTTCTAACAGAAATAACATAATCTTCCACAGATCATTAGAAAATTATTTTACATAACCTTACACACTGAATTTGGGAAAGTTTTGGCTATGGGGTGGGATAAAAATCAAATAAATAATTCTGCAGCATGTCTGATCAAACCTAAACCAGAGATGACACGAAATAGCATAATTTACATAATTTACATTCATTACATACTTTAATGAACTGAGATGTACCATTATTACAAGTAAAAATTGAACTGCAAAAAAGAACTGGAAATTGTTGAAACTTCCAAACTGGATGATTATTTCCTTCACCAAATGAAATAGTAAAATCTGATCCATGGTACTTTATGTTGTCGTGTGGAAAGAACCAAATAATAAAACTAAGAGGAAAGTGTCATTTTATTCAAAGATAACAAGCTGGATTTTTGGTCCCCTGAGGATGACGACTGTGATTATTTTAATTTTGCATTTGCGAAAAAAGGGAAATCTCAAATCTCTGGTTTGTTCCCTCTTTGTTATTCCTTGTAGGTCAAAAGAGAACAGATCACCCCATCCTTTGTCTCTGAAAACAATTTCTTAATCTATTGCATTATGGACCAAACCAAACTTTTCTGTATTGTTCTTTTTCCTCTCTCATCAACCTTACCCTTCAGTTGATCCTTACATTATAACCGAGTGTTAGCATTCTCAAAAGCTTTCCCATACCCAGCTTTTGACTGAATTTTCAGACCGATTTAAGTAGGTTAAAATAAATTTCAGTACTTGTACAAAAAATAATGCTTTACTGTCAAAGTTGTCAGTACAGGGATGTCATTTGGGCGGTGGTAAGCAAAATGGACAACCTGGCTGCCAAGTATCCCTGCATTCCTCAAATTATGTGATAACATTATTAGGTTCCCCAACATTTACGGTGTTTTCTTTTACGTGAAATTTTGGAAGTGGGGTGGGGCTATCAGCAGTAAACTGATGACCTCTAGTGGTCTAATGAAACAGTGCTCATGCTGTCTTGTGAATTTTATCTTTTTCAAAGCACAATGAAATAGCTTTACTCAAAGTAAATGTGTTTTATAAATCAAATGACGTACCTATGTGTTTTTGTTAAGTCAACTCCAGCTAATGGCAACCCTATGAATAAAAGCCCTCCAAAATGTCTAAAACCCATGACGCGCTTGTAGTTACTTAGGCTCTTCCATTCCACCCAATAGTCTTTGGGCAGTTCAGTATATAAACATTAAAATCATAAAATAAGTAATTATAATAAAACAATGTAAAATCTAAAAGTGATTAAAACAGTGCCAGTGTAAAACCAAGGTAAACCCAAGAGCAGAAGAGAGCAATAGCACAAGGATTTAAGAAGCACAGACACGATTTTAAAATGGAAAGAATAAAAAGCCTGCCCTGAGTGAATATTGCTGGGCATTCTGCTAGTGCCAAAAAGACCATGATGTAGGTGCCAGGAAACCCCTCTCTGCCTTACTGTGAATATCCATATGTATTTCTATACGTGGTTCCACTCTGGCAAGTCTGATGTTTGGAGACTTCCAACCCACCTGTCCTTAGTAAATCCAGGATCAACCCTGCCGTACAGCAGAATGTAGTACCCTAGTTCAGGGAGTGTTATGTGAGGTTGAGAAAAGAGATGACAAAGGAAAGTGAGGGGAGGGGGTTGAAGTGTGGGGCCCAGCTGAGGGTCAGCACTAAGGGAGTGGGTCCATTCTAAAACTATTGAATCCCTAATACAAAATCTTGATTTCCCTGGGATAAAGCCTTTTCGTTTTTTCCTTTCCTTACCAATACATCTGAATAAACCTATGGCCATAAGCACACGGGCAGGAAAAGCTTTAAAAACTCTCAACTGTCCTGTGATATATTATACCAAGCAGAGATTTATAACAAATTAAAATATAATTCATCAGCACTTCTGCAGAACTTAGACAGCTGCTACCTCACCACACAGAACACCAAGAAGCCCTGTTTGGCTTAACCTATGAATGGATCAAATACAGAACAAGCCATATGCCATCGTGTCTCTTTCAAGGTACCTTTTTTACACAGGGCCAAAAGTTGATCTTGATTGGATTACAGCAGGAATTACATTGACTTAAGGAATTCAACATCAAGCACCTGTGATTTTTCCGAACAAGACAGAAAACAAAGCCAAAAAAGGCCAAAAACAAAAACAAAAACCCAACCCATTCAGATATAAATAATCCTCAACAGAAAAGGCAGAATCAGGATAGTTCTACTTGTTTAAGAATGCAACAACTTGAGCACAAGAAAATGAGCTTTTGTATCTTGATTACAGGATTAGATTTTACTTATTTCTTTCAAACACTTTTTAAAGTTCTGGGGTTCAATATATAAATATAAATGAAAATATAATGCTTAGGTATTTCAAAAATCTTCCTCCGGTTTTAGAGCAATGGTTATGACAACAATATAAATCAATGTTAACAGCTGGCTGTTATTATTTATAAACAAGGTCTAGGCTGCTTTCCTTTATGTTACAATTAAACATTATGTCTTCACTCTTTAAGGATCTACACTTTCACAAATGTAAGCTCATTACTGCAAAAATAGGAGGAAAAAGGGGAGGACTTTTTAGCTCACCAGAAGTGCAGTTTTAATAAGCTGACCATTCTACCAAGCATGGAAAGTTCCATAAAATAAATTCAACTTAAAAAGTTACATGCAAAAGAGGAGTCCGTGCATTCTTAATCAATGCGCTTATTCAGTAACAGGAGATTTATAAATATTTCTAGCAAGCAATTATGAGATATGCCTGTGAAGTGCCAAGCTACATTTAATAAATGTGTTTAATCTGTCAGTAGTTGATTCACGATAGTCTACTAGAGCAGAATAAACATTTTAGTATAACTTCGTCCATATTTGGCTAGAAGAAGGAATGCCATTTTTACCAAGTCCCTTGAGGATACTTCTGCATGCTTTGTTATTATGGCATTTACCCCTGACAAATGTAAACTAAAAAAAGTGTGGGGCAAAGGGAGTGGGGGATACTGGACCCAGTGTAAGAAAAATATTTTAATGACTAATGGTTTGTTGAAACACAGCAGAAAAGTAATGGATATACCAGTTGGGACATGTTTATATAAAACATTCCTGCACAAATTGTGACCCCAGTGCTGAACACATCCCACCACTTTTGTAGCTTGGATTCCCAGGTGCTTGACAACCTTACTGTTCTTGCACTCCTGGAGGAGAATCAGAAAGAGGAGACTTAATGAGTCCCCTCAGCCACCCACCATACATAGTTTACAGGATACGTTCAGCTTCATGGGTCACAAGTCAAAAGTGGCGTGGCAAACATCCAAAAGATCTCTCAGGATGGCTTTACACGATACTGAAACATTTGCAGCATGTCTACTGCTATTCCTCATGACCATCTGCACCAAGTGTTAAAGATCCAAGTCCAAATCCCAGACATATATATTAAATGCCCGTGCCTGTCAGTTGCCTTCACCATAAAAATATGTGGCAAGCCTGCTGCAATTAGCTCCTTTCTGTATTATACACAATGACCTTCAAAATAAACCTGGTATAATGTTACTGCAAGGTGTGTTTGAACGTATCATTTTGTTTACAATGTAAAGCTTGTCTCACACAATAATGAAACCTTGTGTGTTTGTTTCAAGTGTTCTACCCACTGGAATAATCTGCACTTGCACTAGCACTGATTGCATATTTTAACCGTTCACTTTCCTGCTTTCTCTAGCTCCACAAAGACTCTTTTAAAAAGAGAAGATCTTAAGCACTTGCACTGTCCCTGAAAACCTCTGCTCTTAAAAATCTGTTCCACTTTCTTAACTTTCTGCTTTCCTGGTGCCATGGAGAAGGTCCAGTACATTACCCGCTCTGCTCTGAGGAGAGCCTCAACTATTGAGGTGAACCCACAAACACGCCAAAGGCTTCAAGATCTCTTTGTAAATTTCTGTCTTATCTTAATATGCCTCTTGCTTATCTGTATCATTGTGATGCTTCTCTGAAGTCCCGCTTCTTTGATTGATCTTCACTGCACTATGAAACGGGAAAAGCACACCAGAGGGGGAAAAGCACCGAACAAGACACCTCCAGCACAAGGAAATCCTTACAAGAAAGTCCGGCATTTGGACTAAACAGTTTCTCAACAGCTGCACTGTTCACTAATTACCCACTGCAACTGCGCTAAAAGCACCACCACTGAACAGCAATTTCAAACCTACTGTCTCAATGTTATGCATGAGTTAAACCTATCTGCTCTGCTTAAAAGAGAAGTCTTCTGTGGATGTGGCAGCCTAGTATCCTTGATTTTATTGAATTGATGTGTTAGTGAAACCATTATAAAATGTCTCAATAGCAACCTTGAACTTTCAGTTCCAGATGTTTAATTTATCAGTGCCAATCAGCTTTAAGTATTTGGTTTTACATTTGAATAATGAATAGGTTGAAATCAGCTATAAATGAGGAATTAAAAGATAGATCATTATAAAAGACAAAAGTGTTCATTCAAGCTATTATCAACCTTGCTTCGGTAGAGTTATGATTACATGGTCCTGACTTTTGCATCTGAAAAACAATCACATTGACTCAACCTGATATTCAAATTATACAGTTCAACAATGGCGTTGTACAGTTCATCATAAACACCTTTTAAGGCATTAGGTGTACTGACTGTTTTCTCTTGAATTTTCAAGCAAGGTAATCAAGACTGATGGAAGGCATTAGATTGCATCCAGATACTCCATGAAAAGTAGAGTAACACTTTTTTTGTGAATAAAATCTCAATAATGGTGTATAACTGTTATCAGTATTTTCTCAAACACAGAATCAGAGGTTTTGCATTTCTGCAGTGCTGATTACTTAAACAGAAAAAAAAACCCCACACCAAAAAGTCTTGAGATGAGCATTTTTAGTCATAACTTATTTTTTCTTCTAAAACCGGTGCTGAGAGAACTGGATAAAATGCATTTGCTTTGATATACAAAAGTCAAACCATCTTACTGTAGATACTTTCTTTACGAGTTGTATGTGTGTGTTCACATATAGCGGTGTATACATAAAGTTCCTAATATTTTTAGCCCAGTTAAATGACTATGAGCAGAACTAAAGGATTTTAAAGACTCCTCTCCCTTACTCTTTCATCTGTTTGACCCAAATGTTGCTCTCCATCATAACCATGGTTGAAGCTTACATAGTCCCCATACCATTTTATCCTCACAACAACCCTGTAAGGCAGATTAGGCTGGGAATGGCCCAAAGTGACCCACTGAGTTTCATACTGGAGTGGGGACTAGAACCTGATCTCCCAGGTTCCCAGCCCAACATTATGACCACCACACCACACTGGCTATAAATCTAACTGTGGTGAAAGAGGATATGATACTGGGGCAATGCAACATTTAATCCAGCAGCCTCCCTTAACCACAGCCAAGTGACTGGATTAAATGTCCCAGTTCATTCTGGGCTATTATTTTTCCTTTTCAAATTCCAATTACAGGTATCATTCGATCAGTGCAATACTGCACTTTTAAATGATTTTTCTCAAGTCTGCGAGGTGCAGGTTTTACATATAATTACTTGGTTGTATGAAACCTGTATCATAGGGTGAACCTTCTTATTGCTTCTATGAAGTGTACATACTGTCACTGTTACTTTATATGCATATGTATATGCTATCACTTTAACTGAGGTGATAAGAAGCAACAACATTGAATGATTTACTACATTATTAGAAACGTTCCACAGAATGAGAATTATTCTTCATATGATAATCATGTTACATGTGAACTTATTATCCTTTGGTGCAAAACAATTATTTGTTCTAATCTAATCCTAAAATAAACATTAAGCCTAAATGATTAGACAAATTGTTTGGGGTGCATTTCTCTTTTAGTTTTGAGTGTATTAGTATATTTGAAACCCTTAAATAAATTAAAGAAAGTGAATTTGATATTTTCTGTGCCACACTAAACACATGTATTTTTAATTGCAATGATTATTAGTTTCATATAATGGAAACAAAGATTAACTGGGAATAGGCAGTTCAGTTATTTGAGTAAAATGACAGTAATGCAATTTGAAATACTTGAGTACTTTTAATAAAAGAACAAATGTGCCAATTTGTTTTGCTCCGGGTTCTTAGTCAACTCTATTAAAACTATTATCTTCAAATATGAAGTAGTGTGCTCCTGTCTGCCACTGCTAGAAATGTGCCTCCCTGATCCACCTGCAACTTTTACAACATTTTAAAAAGTTTAGCATCATTTGAAAGGTTAAAAAATACTTTTTAAATTTTAACCTTAATTTTTACTTGATGTTTAAATCACCAAGGGAGTCTCTTTGTTCAATCACTATTTCCCATTCTGGGTGTATGTGTGTGTGTGCTCACTATATCTCCTCTTTGTCTTGCTGCATGCCAACCAACAGATATCGAAAAAGGAATACACAGAAATCAACAAGAAATATTGTATTTGTTTGAATGTACATGATCCAGCAACCCTGCTTTAGTTAAGCACGTCTCATCTGGTCAATGCCTAGATTGGAGGGAGACTGCCTGGGAGCCTTGAGTATGTTGCTCTGAGTTCCAAGATGAAAGTTTAAGATGGAATATAAAATAAACTGGACAACTTCATAATTAGTAGTGCAAGTCTTAAATAACTACACTCACTCCTAGAACCCAGCTTCTAACTAACAAAATCCTGTACTCTTTTAAACACAATCCCCATTTTAATCACAGGCTTCTGGGTGGAAATATAAATGAAGCTGTGTTCCTGGGCCATAGTCAAGTCCCCCTTCCTCATGAGAAAATGGAGATTCAAGATGGCACCATGTGTGATATTGCCCAGGGAATACTAGTTGCTCATCTCAAATCTGATAAAACATTTTAACTTGTTCCTAAATAAGGCAAAGGACATAACTGGAATATTGTAAGCGAGACTCTTTTAGTCCAATTTTGTTTTTAGCGATGGCCAAACTATTAAGATTTAAAAATAAATCAGAAGTATGCTCATTAAGAAAAACAAATGGAAATACAACACAAGTTTCATCATTTAAAAAGAAAAAAGCTATTATATGAGCACAAGGCTTTCAAACACAATGCAAGAAAAAGGCATTACCATGCAAATCTGAGAACATTAAAAATCTTGCAATTTGTTCTGTTTCTAAAAGTACATTAGGAAACATTTTTTAAAAAGTGTAAGTTTCTCTAAGTTCTATAACACCTCAGTGTAAGTATTCTAAGTCCCATTAATTCCAATTTGAAATAATATGTTCATAATTTAGACGGTTTATGCAGTCATTCATTAGACGTGGTAACAGGGAATTTTACAAGTTAAGTACATGCTAAATTTGCCAATGAAATTAATAGAACCTTAAAGTGCTTAATGTTACCAAGATGATACCTGATACAGCCACATTTTCCCCTGTTGTCTGCAAACATTTGAGAATAGTACTGAGGGTTAACAAAGTAAACTAAACAGGTTTATAAAGCAATCAGCAGTGTTTCCTGCTCTACTGACATTAAAGTCAATTCCAAGAAAATAGACAAAGGAAAGAACTTTCTATTCAAAACTATCTGTTTAAGAAAAGGTTAGAGCACAAGGAAATATCCTTTTATCTGCATCATGATCTTCCATATAATATCTCCCCAATAAATGTTAGTTCATATATCCAGGGCCCTACTGCCTTTGATAGCCAAGTCACCAGCCTCCTCCCATTCTTTTCAGCACAATACTATGACTGTCTACTTCGACACTGTATTCGATGGTTCTTAATTCCAGGTAGGATTGACTGGAATTACTGCCTTAAATTCCTGACTTCATGCTGTCCCTCAGCAGTTGGTGGCTATTTTGGAAGGAAAGTGATTTGAGAACCACAGCTGCCTGCAGCAGGATAGCTATCTCCAGTCTTCTCCTCTAGAACCAATAAACAAAGCTGGAACTCCATGTCCCTCAAACAACACAACCCAACCACATCAATCTTTCAGTGCTGGGTTCTTTAAAGTCCAGCATAACTTCAAAGATGATTCCATAAGTCCAAGTTAGAGAGGAAAGTGGATCTTGCTCCATCACTCTTGCCAAAGAAGAATAAACCACTTGCCAAGGCAAGACTAGCAAGCAGAAATATGTATGACTGAATATAATTTAGAATGTGCTGTGAATAGTAAAAGCAAGCACAAAGCACTACACCAAGAATAGTATTAAGAAGCCAGTCATTCAATCACTGGCCAGTAATATAAATCAACTTTCCATACTAAATACTCATTGGTGTCAATGATACTTAAAATGAAGGTAGACACAGATGACTGGGAACTCAATATGCCACTATTAAGCAATGTGGCATAATATAATACAAAAATACGTTTTACCACATCAAGATGCCTGCTGAAATCTCTTTTTCACCTGGCATGAGGTGACAGACCAGTGTCTTATTGAGCACACCATGGTAAGTTATCGCTTGTTGGATAGTTGCCTGTATCTTTATTCACACAGTGTTTTGGGATGGTGGGTTTTTGGAAGTGTCTGCACTAGTTTTTGCTCACCTGCCATTTTCTCTTAGGTGGTGCACAAGAAAAGCTTAAGAATCGAAGATGTGATATACATGTACCTAACCCACAATACACTGTCACTGAAACTGAACCAACCTGAAACTTCAGTCAACACTTCTGTCGCAAGCACAAAAAAGCGCAAGGCTGGCCACAATGGATCTGGCTGCAAACAGAGGCCTCAACCTGTTACTCAATTTCCTGCTTATTTTCTTGGTTCTTGTTCTCATGTTCATCCTTGTGAAGCTCATGTGAATTCCGTGTGTGAAAGCTTACTTATATTCCACTATGGTAACCTGAACCTCAAACTATGTGAACAGAAACAATGAAATAAATATCGAAACAACATCAGCAACCCATAACCCAACAACAGGAGAGTTTTGAATTTATAAAACAGATTAAGACCATGGATTTGCTGGTGTGTATTACTTTTACACCAGAGCAGACTAACAGTGTAGTATAAAAAGCTACACCCTGATGGTTCGGAAGTTAATTGCAATGTATTATGTCACCAATATAATACATCACACCTTATATTATCTACCAGAGAGTGGGTAGTTTGTGGACTTCTGATACTAGAGACTCTGTTAATGGAACAGAACGGGACAAAAAATATATAACCCACAGTGGCATCACTACAAGCTGAAATACAACAAACAAAAAAGAAAAAGCAAACACGGAATTATTTAGAAGAAGAAAACAATGGCTGGTTGCTTATTTGAAGCAAACATGGAATTTCCTGTGACTTTCATTTATGAGGGGGACAGGGGACGAGGGAAAATGGTATGCTTGTTTATTCAGAAGTATGTCTCCTTGAAGTTCATAGGCCATACATACTAGGGAATAAACCCTATGGAACAAAGTGAGATTTATTTGCAAGTGAACATTCACAGGATTAGTTATGCTGAACAGTGAGGGAGGGTAGGTATTTACCATTACAGTATGTTACATAATATTGGTAGCAGAACAATAGAATACACTCTTAACGAAATACACATTATGTTCCCTACAGTTGATTTCAATCACTTCAAAACTTGCACAAGGCCTTATTTCACAACGCAAAGCACGTGCCCTTCTCTCAAATATATCCTGCTAATGTGCAGACCAATTCCCCCTCAGTGACCAGTTGCACTGGCTTTTCAAACCAGAGGAGAGTACTCTAAGGGACATATTATAGTGGATTGAAGTGTCTAATATACCTTTATGTCAGCTGCCCTGTGTACACAGATGTATAATCATTATTTTAGCTTCATTTACAGGACTCTGCTTCACAAAGAATAAATTGTCCAATGAATTTACTATAGGAACTTCATATGTTATGTCATTAGACATATATGTGAAATGTGTGTGTTTGCATGCCTACCTTAGCAGAAGATTCACCATCAGAACCAGAATGACCAGCAAAACCTATACATTAAATGGAATGTCATTTGGAAACCTAGCAATGTAATGTATGCTACAGAATGCAAATGCTTGGGCTACTATGTCAACTATGCCTGAAAAGCAACTCCAGACCTTCATAACCATTTCAAAAATGACAAGCCAGCCATCAGAACAAAAACTATTGAACAACCTGTTGCAAGGCAGATTAATTTATATGACCACAACATTTCATTCAAAGAAATATTTCCAATAGAAAGGCCATCCAATCCTAGAATACTAGAAGCATTACAGATTTTTTGGGTGTATATACAGAAGACTTTAAATACACTCATACCCTTAACTTTTATGCAGTTTATCTGTGCCTTTAACTCTCTTTTAACCATTTTTGTACTTACATAACACCCACCACCTTCCTGAGAATTCTCTCCATCCTCAAAATTCTTAGCCCCATAACCCTGTCTCCTGGATTAAGGCCTAAAATCAATTAAGGCACAAGGCAAAACATTTAACTATATAATTTTAAGCTGCTCTCCATTTTGTGATTCACTTATTTACCTATGACTTGAAATATAGTTACAGAATGATGTATTATATTCTGGGACTGTTCTCTCCACACAGGTCTTCCTAGCTTGTTGTGCACTGCTGCTGTTCATTGAGATAAATGGAAACACAATACTTAATGGAAAAGTTACACTCATTTACCCAGCATATAGGACAAATATCAGAATGCACAAATATTCAGGTAATTTGCTGGTGATAGAAGCTGCAACAACACAGAAGTACTGATACTTGGTGTAACTTATCTTAATGTATCAAAAGTTGAATTTTGCTAAGAATGAAAAAGAAGATGCTGTTTCTTGTTGTTGTTTTTCTTTGTCTACACTGAAAATATATATAATTCGCTATGTATATCTCTTTCACAAGCTCAGGTGTACAGATAACACATGGGGTAAACTCAACATTTGTAGAAAAACCTAAGTAAATATATTAAGTGTAAAGACTTGATTAGTCCCTTACTTCCTTGCTTTCTCAGTTCAAAGTAATTCTCATAAACATGCAATAAAAGTGAGGTATAGCAAATGTTTGATGATCTTCACAATTTCAGGATGTATAATGTTGCAAAAGACAAAACCCAGTTACACATCTCCAAAAAGATAACAGTTACTTTCAGGGACCAAACTGTGACACCATACTAAGGTCAATAGCCCATGTGTAACTCCATAAAGAGCAGCTGCATAGGGTGTGAGCTAGATCAAAAACATATCAGGAAGGCAGGGGACTGTTCCTGCTGTGACACCGATACAAACTTGTAGTGGTGGGGATTCTGAAGTGCTATATAGATACTTGGCATTGGTTTTATTATTACCATCATAACCCCCTTCTTATATACCTGTTTATTGATACTATGGTGGACAGAACCACTGCCACGGCCCTTAGGGTATCACATTACAAAGTGCGAAAAACTCTACTTGTCTCTTTTGTCCTGCTGCTGCTCTCACACAGGGCGAGCACTAGGTTCTCCTTGCACCAGTACTAGGAGTTAAGAACAATTAATGCTTACTCAGCAATGTCGTGTATGTCATTGCACTCCCCTTGAGGTTGCTATTTGCTCACACAGCAAGTCTTAGAATAGAACCATAAACATTGTGGATTACTATGGTTAAGACAATAAGGAACTTTAGATGAGAAAAAGTTGATGTGCAAACAAGTTTTAAGAGGTTAGTATCAATTACAAAATAACCTTGATTGCTTTGAAGTTAGCCAAAGCTCTAACCAAATAAAATAGCCCTTGCCACCGAAGTGTAGATTCTGTCCAACAAACTGCCTTGATATTCAGTGTGCTATTTGGAAGTGTTGTGGTTAGGACTTGACTGTAATGATAACACAGCTGCTACACAGGAGAACTATAACCAGAAAGCTAGCAGGACCTACAACTCCTGCAGGTTGGATATATTTATGGACAAGAACCAGTTGAGTGAATGTTCAGTCACCTGACACAGGTCTAATTTTCCAAGAATACCAACATACACACTATATATATATGAGAGAAAGAGAGACTCTAATGAATTGCTACAATCTACTCAAAGGCAAAGAGGAAAAACTTCATTCTGGTAGCATCAACAAGGTCTAATATTATATGAAGCACTGAGCTATGGTCATAGAACACATGATGTTGTGACATTATGAAAAGGAGGAAACTGAGAAGAATCACATTGTATCCACATGCAACATCTATAATGGCATCCCAGTCCATTTCAGTTAAGGTTATAAAAAGCCAGCAGGTGCTTGCCATATTACATGAGTGGCAAGAACTAACTATTGCTCCCATGTAATAACACATTGTTTGGTGTAATTTCTCTTTCTATCCACTTGGTGGCACCAAACACTGAATGACTGTTCTTACCTGCACTGAATGTTCATTTCCTGTTCTAAGTTCTTCAAGCTGCTGTAACTGCCAAGGAGGCGAACTGTAGGACTCCTCAGAAGGCCTAGACTCTGGAGGGTTTGTATGAAATTGTTCTGTAAGCCACTTCTGAGTCCTCTCGGAGGGCTGAATGGGAATCCCACTCACAGCCTGCGAACCCAGCATTACGTATCCTTGATGGAAAACCTCACAGTTTGATATTGCAGGCTTGCTTTCAGGTAAGGCACTGTAGGTCATGTCTAAGGCATGTCTCCTGTTTGAGGAATCAGGAACCCCCAAGTCTTCTTTGCTGCAACTTTCAAATTTGTATTTGCAGTCCAAGGTAGAATTTCTTTTTTTCCCTGTTTCTCTGTCCTCAATCTTGAGCAGTTCCATACTATTGTGCAAGCAGCTTGCCCCATTTGTTCTTAGTTGCAGTGAGAGAGACTGGTCTCTTCCCATTTTATCAACGTTAGACCTGCACTCTCCAGGGGAAGCACCCCCATCCTGGTTACAGCTAACAGGTGTGCTGAGTTTAGACAAAGATGACCATTTCCTTACAGGCCTGAGGTCCTTCATGTCAAGAGAACTGTCCAGTATGCCCTGATGCCTGCTTCCAGCAGAACGCAAAAGGCTTGTACTCCATTTTGAATAGTCAGACTTGACAGGTTCCCGGTGTTTGGAAAGCGAAGAGCTGGTATTAGACGGCATCACATGGGCAGTGGGAATTGAGACCAGTGAACGGCTGGGCTTGAACGAGGATGTGCCACTTGAGGTGGAATGATCTGAGGAGAAAGATTTTCATCATGTGAATGAACACAGTGCAAACCAAGGGGACCATACAACATAATAAATAATGTCCTGACACAGCTAACATCATTTCAAACACAGATTCAATCAGTCTATATTTTTAAGACATTTTCTGTTTAGAATGTACCTTTTTAAATGTCTCACAGGCAAAGCAAGCAAATGCTGCCAGTTTGTAGGCACCACTACAATATCTCAGCATGTACGTTGTTTGTATTTTCATCATGTTATGCCCTTAGTTTAAATATTGCTGCCCTGGACAGATTTAAACAATCTATGTGCATTGGACTATACTGGTAAAAAGCATACAACTGGTTTTTCAAGCTTCTATTTGTGTACATGGGCATTATGATACACTCACAATTCATTTAACATTTTAAATTTTTAAAATGCCTTTTCACAATTATAACGGTTTTGTTTCTTTTCTTTAAAAATAAATGTATCAGGGAAGTTAGTTAATACAAGGCTAGGTATACTGTACTACATTAAAGGCACAATGCAATGCCCTCTCTGGCAGATGCAGAAAAGTCTTCAAACTGGGAGGCTTGCATGCATCCGATGCATGGAGTGAGGCATGGTGGTGACTATCTCCACTACACCTCACCCCATGTATTTACCATGGACTTCTAAATTTAGCACCAGAGAATGGGAGGAAAGGTGGCTGAGGCACCAGAAGGACGGGCATAATACTATGGCCCCAGCCTTCTCCCCTCCCCATCCGGAGCATATTCCTTTTTCTCCTTTCTGAAGCAGAGTTTCATGCTAGGGGAGGCAGCCACCATGGTTCTTTCCATGCTACCTGCAAGGGGACTCAGCGAAGTTCCAGCTCTGGTATCACAAGATCTCAGAGCTGGGGCTCTAAAAAAGTCTATGGCTTCTGAGTTTCATCTCAGACTTAACACACATGAAAGAAATACTGTTTAAATGAGCTTCAGTAGCCTCAGTATGCAAACACCTTCCAAAAATAATCCCTCAGTATGAAACCAGAAGAAATTTGAAAAACAGCACTGACTAGGAGATGAGCACTCATTAGTTTCCTACCTACAATACGCCTTGGAGAAAAAAGGCTGAACACTTTCATACATAAAGGTGGGCATTGACTTGGATACAAAGATGCAGGTGCACAGGAGGAACATGCAGGAAGGTGAAATCCCCATGTTCTGGCAATTCCCCTTACTTCAGCAGCTGCTGTGCCATATGCCAAGCTGCTCAAAAGCCCCTCCCTTTCCTCTACAGCTCTTAAAACAGGCTTTTTATGGCATGTAGGAAGCTGCAGAGGGATGGACAAAGCAGAGAAGTCCTGCTCTGTTCCTGGAACAGAAGTCAGGATCCAGCCTTTTGCACCCAGTATACACTATGAAGCAATGGCATTGTTACTGTGTTGGCTCTCCAATTCTCAATCTGAAATATCCGTAGGCTTACAGAAAATCCTCAATGTGCCAATGCTCCTAAACAGATGAGCAAGTTAAAATTAACGAAGGTGAGGCAGAGGTTACTAGAATCTGAGTGGCAGTTCTCCTGTGCCCAGCAACTGCTACTTCGCATCAAAGCCTGTAGACAAGCAAAAATAAGCAGCTAATCCTGGCATTAGGCTCTTAGCCTCTTCTCCAGCACGTGGCTTAACCTTCCCCCAAGCTGTTCGTGCTGCTCTCACGTGGGAGGCTTTTTAAAAAGACTTACCATTTATTCTGATGGATTGAGATCTGCTGCAGTTATATTTCTGGTTTTTTAAAAAGGAAGCTGAGCCTTCTTGGATCTTTCTTTCATGCCCCTGCATTTTCTTCAGAGTTTTCACTTAATGAATTCAAGTAAATTCATATTTAAAGCTATGTAACCCTGTTCAACTGCTGTCTATGTATATTGGGGAAGGGGAGGGGAGGGGAGAGACAGAGCCTCAGAGACCAGACAGCATTTGCCTTGCAGAGGCATATCACCCTACATATCACATTTTAATGTCATCACTATTAACTAGCATAGCCACAGGCCAAATACATTGGAAGGTGGTTAATTTACTTAAGTGTCTAGATTAGACTAAAAACAATCATATTTAAACAAAATTATGTATTAGAGTGTATTAAATTGTTATTTAATAATTATTATGGGCCTTTCTGCAGATCAAAAAAGGAGAGTGTATTAAACAAGCTCATAGAGTAATAAATAAAAGCTAAGGAAAGTCAATGTTTAGCATTTCTCTGACTATCATATCCATCCTCAAAGAACATTCTAAATTGCAGCAACTTACCAAAGATCCAGCGTACATTGCTCTATGGAATATAAGAGTTTAGCACTGCAATCCTATGCATGTTCAATACAATCCCTCTGAGCTCAGTGGAGGTTGCTCCAAGTGTGTATAGGGCTGCAATGCTCCACTGCAGAAAATGTATAGATGTTTGTATTGACACTCGCACATTCCGCTTCCTGTGGTGGTCCTTGTTAGGGAAGGAGCCATAGCAGTTTTATTCTGAATACATAATTATTCTGGCAATTTTTGATACAAACTGAACAAAATGGTCACCTTTCACAGTTCTTCAAAGAGGACTGTAAGAGAGGATAGACAGTGTTTCTTTGTGTCCTTAATGGCACTGGCATGAAGTCCCAACTCCTGAAGTCCTTACTGATTGTTAGTTCCACAAAGATGGGTGGAATTAATTGATGTTTTAGTTGATTGATCATTCTGATTATCCAATCAAAGCTAGAAGCATCTGTTTCTAGTGCATAATACAGGGACACCAGTGTGACTGTTCAAACAAATACAAATTTGGAAAAGCCACATGTGTTGCTCAGAAGTTTGGTTACCAGTACTGTCTATTCAACCATAATTAAATGAATGCCCTCTTGAAAATAATGGGTAAATGTATGCTTGGCTGCTTGCACTCTAATTGAACAGCAGGACAATCTATTCAATGAGCTGTTTGTCAGTGCTAGGACTAATAATCTCTATACAATTCTTTGAGAAATAAACCCTTGGCTACAGGATTTTATTTTGCCTCAGTTACAGAAGAATATTGTTACAAAATTTGGGAATAGGGCAGTTAGAGTGTTGGACTGGGGACTTGGGAAATCCAGTCACTCGTTCTCAGCTTAACCTACCTCACAAGGTTGTTATTAGGATAAAAGTTCTAGAAGCTGCCTCAGATTGTTCACAAGAAGGGAATAAATTGTTTACTATAGAATGTAAAGCTAGTATGATTGTCATTTAAAATCTAACTGTATATTGACATATACTTTCCAAGCTTCTAGGAATCTTGAAGAAAAGGCACTACAGCTTTTGAAAGTGCGTCTCTGCTTTTGAGTTATGCAAAAAAAGAAAAAAAGGTGAAATAATGGCCTTTGAAGGAAACAGAAAGAAGAATTGCAAGAAGGATTCAAGGGCAAGGCTAGTGTTCCTCTTTGTCATTATCAGCACACAGAGGCCACAACACTGCAGCTGAGCCCATCCACCAGGAAAAACAACGGGTTTCTTCTCTTCCTCTGAACCCACCTAAATGCCTATCATGACTATAGGTTTCCAAAAGCCCTTGCAACAGCAATCTCACATTTACTACTTGTTTACAACATAATCTGAAATCCTGTATTATTCAGCCACATATCCCAGTCTCTTCCTGACTTCTGTCTGCATAGAAGTGTGAAGATTATACGTGAAGACTTAACAGGTCCAGCAGCAAATATTCCCTTCCAGATGCTTAGGGATATAATCCACTAGACACATGAGTTCAATGTATTAGGCTAATTATATGATACATATTGAATTGGGGGGAGGGTGGAAACTGGGAAGCCAGAAGGGAGTACAGAAAATCCTGACAGTGACAATCGCATTATTGAGACTCATCATTTATAAATTGGTTGAACAATACAGAATGTTTCATAAACAAAGCTGAATTAGGATCAGAGGAAGGAGGAATATACAAACTGACAGAAGATATATCAATAATTTAAGAAATGCTGATGACACCATAGCAACAATGAATTGAAATGACTTCTGATGAAAGTGAAAAATAAGTACAAAAACAAGACTGGAAAAGAAAATCCACATCTTTAAGGTCAAGGATGAAGACACTTAAATTGTTAAAGTTTTTGCATATCTTTGCTCAAATGAAGACTGCAGCTAGGAAAGTAGAAAAAGACAAATCCAGAAGAGGAGCAGTGAAGGGTCATCAAGTAAAAGGACTTTTCACTGGATATTAAGGTGAAGTTCATCCACCCTATCATATTCCGAACCACTATGTATGGATATGAAAACTAGACAGTGAAGAAAACAGACAGAAAGAAAAGCAATGTGTTCAAAACTTGGTACTAGAGAACTTGGTATTTTGTGAATACCTTAGACTGAGAGGAAAACAAACAAGTGGGTCCTACATCAAATCAAGCCAGAACTTGTTCTGGAAAGAAACATGATGAAACTGAGGTTTCAAGCTTCAGGCACATCATGAAAGGACAAGACTCACTGGAGAAGACACTAATGCCAGGGAAAGTCGGAGACAGAAAAATAAAGGGAAGACCAAATAAAAGATGTTTGCTTCTATAAAGGAAACCACAGCCATGAGTTTGCAAGAGTTCAGCTGTGCTTCAAGGGCAGGACATTTTGGAGAGCATTCATACATAGGGCCCCCGTGAGATGGGCCCTGTGATGATCTGGAGATGATCTGGCAGCATGTAACACTAATTATGTGATTGGCACTTTCAGTACATTCTACACTGACCTCATTTAGAATCTCCCCTTAATGAAATACACGGTTTTTCAAGGGCTGTCAAGTCACCTTCTACATACATACCCTTACAACAGCACACCTGGGAATCTAATATCACAAAGAGTAAACCTAGCCACACTTCCAAATCTTTGAAAAAGATTTTTCAAAACCTTTATTATTCCCCCAAAAGGTGCAAGCTTTCAAGGTCTTCAGATTTCTTCATCAAGCAAAATGTTACAAAAAGCAAGAAATGGGGAGAGGGAAAAGAACTGACATGTTGAAGTAATGGT